ACAGTCTGCTAATGGCATGGCATTGCACAGTGAGAAGTCATCACACATAAAAAAAAATATATAGTCAGTATTAATATAACATTTTATGGTAGGAACCTATGGGTTAAACATGACCTAGATACCCTCTTGGGATCTCCTTCCTTTTTTAAAATGGTAGTTATGTATAAGAAGTAAAAATGTGAGAAAAAATATAAAAAGACAGATCACCATAATCACAGAAATATGTGAAATGGTGAAAACTGACTTATAAAAAGCCTACCTCAGAGCTACACTACAGGGGGTAACCCAAGAAAAATATAATTGAATGGCGGAGACCCTTGAAACAAGGGGATCCCTGGAGTAGCTGCTGAACACACAGAATAAGCAGTATAGTAACCAGATGATAAGTAGAAAAGAGAAGAAGGGGATATATTAATAAGTGGATAAAGAGGTGAAGGGGAGTAAATAGAGAAACCCCATATGCACCCTGTACTGTCCACTACTAATTATACAAAATAACAGCAAGGGAAAGTCCTTAAATGGAAGAGGGATCTAGCCATACATACTAGCACTAATATCCAAATCTAGGACACCTAGGCTGTATGGTGTAACAAAAAATATGTGTAATGCATACAATACCCCACTAATATAAAGGCAGGCAGAAAGGAACCTACACATAAAAAAGTGGGGAAGGGAAGGAACAAGGGCAGACCCAATATGGACGAGCCCTAGGTCCAGAGGAGCCCCTCAGGACCAAAAAAATGCCTGCCTTTAAATACCAAAATCATAAATTGCTAACTATACTGACTAACTAAATCAAAGCATACTGACTACATAAGTGCTACCTAGTGTAAAAGAAAAAAGACATAAATAAATTAAAGAAAGCGCTCGACGCACGTTTCAGCGTGCATAGGTTAATAGGTTAATCCCTTATCTGTACCTGGGAGATATTTGAGTCAAGCACTTATACTAAACTCAATTATCTCCAAACACAAAACACACATTTTTATAAAACCCCTAAAATAGCTTTAAAACATACAAAACCACCACAAATGTTACATCCCCTGATAGCCCTGATCTGGGTGACCAACATTTACAAAACTCACCCAGATCAGTTCAGGGGTTCAGGAATTTCCTGGAAGTCATTTATTAGACTGACTGCACGCATGGCCCCATGCCCAAAATAGTTCCAGAGAATCAGGGCTTGTGGTTGGTCTAGTTCGGTAGTTTAAAAACAAATAAACCACCGAACATAGTCAATGTTCTTACCCTGGAGCTTGTTCACCTCATCCAGACGAACGATTCCACCGAACAGTGCCCTTCTAACTAGTATAGAACCGAATGCAGGCGATGATGAAAGTCCAACGGTGTTCGGGAGTTTTTGTGTCCGATTTTAGTTCCATGAGATTCATGCCCTCGTGGTTGTCCATAGGAATTGCGGCCACCAGACAACAATTAGAACACTGCGGTGAGAACCATTCCAAGGTGTTAATAGGTGTTAACAAGCTCCCGGGTGGTCCCTGGTTCGTGTGGTTGTTCGGTTGTCAAACAGGACAATGTTAGAATAGGAGGGGAATGCAATCTACCAAACAGAATAGTAAAAAGGCACGAACTAGGTCTTTTATGAGCCTTTTTGCATGGCCCATAGTCCTGAGGCAGGAGGCTGGCAAACAGGCCGTTCCAAGAACCAGTGGAGAGGTTACTTTCGCCACACCTTATATTTAATAAAGATGTATTTGTGATGTGTAAAAAATAAAATGAAATGTAGACAAGTACACTTTTTTTTATCCTACACTGGGTGTCTCCATCTTGCTCTATGGCAGTCAGCATAGAGAAAGCAGACATAGAAGAACAGATATTACAGAATGTTCTGTTTCTCCTCCCCATTAGCAATGTTTGTCCTGGATTTGCTTTGTCTGATATGGATCATAGTGTCATAAATGTAAACTAAAATAGAGCGTCTCATGGAACAAAGAAAACAAAAGGTGTTTCTATGATTTATTAAATTCTGACAGAATTGACAGTTTTTTAATATGTTTTAATATCTTTAATCACTGTAAGGACCCATTATCTCAGACAAGCTCTCTCTTGGATAAAGTTTTAAAACCATTTTGTCCATTATTATTATTATTATATTATTTATATAGCGCCAGATTCCGTAGCGCTGTACAATGGGTGGACTAACAGACATGTAATTGTAACCAGACAACTGGACGTACAGGAACAGAGAGGTGGAGGGCCCTGCTCAATGGGCTTACATTCTAGAGGGAGTGGGGTATAGTGACACAAAGGGTAAAAGTAGGGGAACAAAGTAGGTTGTTAGAAAAGTATTCACTAAGGGCATAGTAGATGCTTACAGTTTAATTGATATGCTTTCTTGAAGAATTGAGTGTTCAATTATTTTTTTGAATGAGTGGAGACTGGGTGAAAGTCTTACGGAGAAGGGAAGGGAGTTCCACAGAAGAGGTGCAGCCCTGGAGAAATCTTGGAGGCAAGTATTAGAGGTGGGAGTACGGACAGAGGCTATACATAGGTCTTTGGCAGAGCATAGGGGCCTCGACAGGACATACTTATGTATTAGGGAGGATAGGTAGGTTGGAGCAGCATTATGTAGGGACTGGAAGGCATACCCACCTAACTAACCTCAAGTACCCATGAAGCGATTAAAGTAACCAATTTAGCTTAATTCATATACATATATTAAGCACTTATGATTTATTTATTTGCTCTGCTATACAGTCCTTTATCTGACCTATTTTTATTCCCTGTATATATCTGTAAGTTAATTATTACGTAATATGACAGATCCTTGTGTCCCAATAGGTATGTGTGTGAATGGAATTCTTTCACCTCATAATTCTTGCACAATACCAAAATATTTTTATAGAATTGCCTCAGATCATGATTTCTCAATACCCGCTGTTCCTGTCCATCACCCCACACCAGTTTGTGCATCCACTGATGTCACTGAGTGAATTGTATGATTACTAATGATGTAAATATTGATGTGTGCAACGTATATATCACACATTAATTAAATGGGAATCAATTATTACAATATTGTATAATGTTTAGTTATTACATAAAGTTCCATACAGTGCCTTCCATAAGCATTCACACCCAGATTTTCAGACTTTATGTCAACCTCGATTTAAAAGACCACTATAGTGCCAGGAAAACATACTCGTTTTCCTGGCACTATAGTGCCCTGAGGGTGCCCCCTCCCGCCCGGCTCTGGAAGGGGGAAAGGTGTTTAAACTTACCTTTTTCCAGCGCTGGGCGGAGAGCTCTCCTCCTTCTCTCCTCCTCCGTTCCTCCTCCTGGGCTGAATGCGCACGCGCGGCAAGAGCTGCGCGCGCATTCAGCCCGTCGCATAGGAAAGCATTTACAATGCTTTCCTATGGACGCTTGCGTGCTCTCACTGTGAAAATCACAGTGAGAAGCACGCAAGCGCCTCTAGTGGCTGTCAATGAGACAGCCACTAGAGGATTAGGGGAAGGCTTAACCCATTCATAAACATAGCAGTTTCTCTGAAACTGCTATGTTTATAAAAAAATGGGTTAACCCTAGAAGGACCTGGCACCCAGACCACTTCATTAAGCTGAAGTGGTCTGGGTGCCTAGAGTGGTCCTTTAAGGTTTTTCTTGCTTATCTCAAAATAAGGACATGAATTTCTCTTTAAAAAAAAAAAAATTAGATTTAAAATGAAGCATATTAATCCCTATTTTCCACAGATTATGGTGCATTTAATAAATTTTTTTTTTTTTTTAAAACCCAATAAAAACATTTGAAACATTTAACTGCCATTAAAATTCACAAAATTTGTTGAATGGAAACAGGAGGAGGGTATTGACCATCATTATTTAAATTTATGCCCCCACCTGGGGCACATAATTAACCTGCACAATCCCCATAAAATGGGGCCTATAATAACAAATTAATTACAGAGAGGAGATGAGACACTGGCTGCTCACTGTTTAGTAGATATGCCCCCACAAACAGCATAACAGGTGAGGCCATAATGGAGTTAAACCTTCCTTATACTATTATGTTTATCGTGTTGACCCCTATAGGTTTTTTCATTTTTCTTTTTACGTATTATTGTGGTGGCTGGCTAGCTAGCTAGCAAGTATGGTAGTTCAAGGACATCAAATAATCTCCACAACTGGACTCCTCCATGACCATTGCAATCACTTAGAGTTTAACTGCGCTTTGCACTTGTTCATCCGGAAGAAAGGAAAAAGTCAGCAATGGACAGTATCTCCAGTTTTGTCTCACGTAGGTAAATCCACCTCACGTTACTATAGTTGTAAGTAAGCCTTGTATAGAACACTTTATGACTACATTACCACAAAAAAAGGGGTCCCCCGGCCCCCTATTGTCCTCCCCCCCGGTCCCCACCCCTGAGTGGCGGGTGGGGGCCCTAAAGTAAAATAATGTGGGGGGGACCTATTGTCCTCCCCCCTGGCCTCCACCCCTGAGCGGTGGGTGGGGGCCCTTAAATTAGAATGAGAGGGGGGACCTAATGTCCTCCTCCCTAGCCCCCACCCCTGAGTGGTGGGTGGGTGCCCTAAAAACTAATTAGGGGGGGACCTAATGTCCTCCCCCCTGCCCCCCACACCTGAGCGGTGGGAGGGGGCCCTAAATTAGAATGAGAGGGGGGACCTAATGTCCTCCTCCCTAGCCCCCACCCCTGAGCGGTGGATGGGGGCCCTAAAAACTAATTATGGGGGGGACCTAATGTCCTCCTCCCTGGCCCCCACCCCTAAGCGGTGGGTGGGGACCCTAAAAACTAATTGGGGGGTAACCTAATGCCCTCCCTCCTGGCCCCCACCCCTCAGCGGCGGGTGGGTGCCCTAAATAAAAAATTAACCCCCTCCTTCCCCAGGTGAGTAGGGGTCCCCAAACCCCTAGTCACCCCCTCCCAAAAAAATGAACCCCTACCTACCCCCTCACCCTAAAAATAGTGAGGGGGAACTATTAGCTAAACCTGTTAAAAAATAAAAAACTTACCATTTGATGTTTTCTCTTTTCTAAAATCTTTTTTCAGCCCCCAAAAAGGCCAAATAAAAAGCCATAATAACCAACGCACTTTAAAAATCCACCAGAGTGCTCTGACAGGTAAATGTAGAGACTTACCTGTCAGTCTCTTCATTTACCTGTCAGAGCACTCTGATTGGATGGCTTAAACCCACCAATCAGAGTGTTCTGAGCCTAATTGAAGGGCAGGTGAAGATGGATAATTTTTTTTGCGTTTGTTTTTTTTTTAGTTTTTTTATAAAGTGCGTCGGTTATAATGACTTTTTAATTGGCCTTTTTGGGGGCTGAAAAAAAGATTTTAGAAGAAAGAAAACATCAAATGGTTTTATTTAATTTTTTAACAGGTTTAGCTAATGGTCCCCCCTCACTATTTTTAGGGTGAGGGGGTTTGGGTAGGGGTTAATTTTTTTGGAAGGGGGGTGACTAGGGGTTTGGGGACCCCTAGTCACCTGGAGAGGGGGGGTAATTTTTTATTAAGGGCGCCCATCCGCTGCTCAGGGGTGGGGGCCAGGCGGGAGGACATTAGGTCCCCCCCCAATTAGTATTTAGGGCCTCCACCCACCACTCTGGGGTGGGGGCCAGGGGGAGGACATTAGGCCCCCCTAATTAGTTTTTAGGGCCCCACCCACCGCTCAGGGGTGGGGGCCAGGAGGGAGGACATTAGGTCCCCCCTCCTAATTAGTTTTTAGGGCCCCCACCCACCGCTCAGGGGTGGAGGCCAGGAGGGAGGACATTAGGTCCCCCCCCAATTAGTATTTAGGGCCCCCACCCACCGCTCAGGGGTGGGGGCCAGGGGGGAGGACATTTGGTCCCCCCCACCTGTCAGCAGTGTGGGCCCCCCCAATTAGTTTTTAGGGCCCCCACCCACCGCTCAGCAGTGAGGGCCAGGGGGGAGGACAGTAGGTCCCCCCTCATTCTAATTTAGGGCCCCCACCCACCGCTCAGGGGTGGGGGCCAGGGGGGAGGACATTAGGTCCCCCCCTAATTAGTATTTAGGGTCCCCACCGACCACTCATGTGGCCCCCCCCATCATTTTACTTTAGGGCCCCCACCCGCCGCTCATGGGTGGGGCACGGGGGGAGGACAATAGGTCCCCCCCTTATTTTACGTTAGGGCCCCCACCCGCCGTTCAGGGGTGGGGGCAATAGGTCCCCCTTCAGGTTAGAAGCCCCAACTCGCGCGGCACGGGTGGGGGCTTGGGAGGGGGGGGGAGTGTTTTTTTTTGGGGGGGCTGCTCACTGTTTAATAGACATGCCCCTACTTACGGTATAGCGAGTAGGGGCATAATTTTCTAATACTAAGTAATCTTTACTTAGTATTAGTAAATTTGGCTGAAAGACCAATTTAGGTCTTTCAGCCTTTTAGTAGATAACTCCCTAATACTGTGGGAATTAGGGAGTTATCTACTTATTCATTCCTGTCATTACATTGACTGGTCAAGTAACTTACATTTTATATGAATTGTTGTAAGTGTTGCAAATGCTTACAGCTGAATCCTGGCTACGTTTGTATACTTTTTATTTTAAATTGTATACAGTGTAACATTCTTCATTCTTCAACTGGGTAAGTATATTAGTACTTAGGCAACACTGTGCTTCGGAACTTTGGCATTCGGTAATATCGGAACTTCGGGACCTCGGCACTTCAGCTATTCGGAAGTACCCAAATGTTCGAATTGCCCAAAATTCGTCCAAATTCATATTCGGACCGAAACTAATTGCACATGTCTAATATCTTCTTTCTTATAATCTTAAAAGAAGCACCATAAACACTGCAGCTCGACTTGACTTTCTACATGAAGGTCATCCAGGCACCGCTCCCTGCCTCCACTACATACAGCGGAGAACCAGAACCATCCACTGGCTCTCCTGAGCGAGTCGCAGGGATAGCTCATTGGTTGTGAGTCAGACAAAGAACAAAGCCCTGAAGTGCACAGACAGGAGGCTTCCTGCCCTCCATCGTTAGTAGGGGAGGCGGAGAACAGTGCCCAGCGGATCCCACATAACAATTTAAACTGTTCTAAAAAGGTTTGAGTCCTTACAAAAGGGAGTGCCAGGACCCTCTTAGCACCATAACTACTACAGAGAAATGCCCTCATGCAGTCTGTAAACTTCCATTATGAGGGCTTCTGACTTCTTGAGAGGTATCACTCACACAATTGGAGAAATGTATCAAGGCAAGGAATATTACATTTTACTCTTACCATGATGCTCATATTATGCTTTACTCTTTCTTGATACGATCTCTTTGGCCAGAAGATTTAAATGGATTCTAGATTCTGCGGGGATAGATAGCTTTGGGTCTCATTCCACTAGTAGGGCTATGGCTTCTAAGGCAGCTTCTCTGGGTTGCCACCTGGAACAGGTACCTAGAGCCACAGATTGGTCATGGGAACCTACTTTCCATGAATTTTACTTTCGGCCTACTACTCATTTCGTTTCTACAGTTATTGCTAAGCTTTAAACAAGCATAATACGAGTCTCTGTGTCTTTATAAAATTTACCAGATTTTACTAATATCATGACACAAAGTCAATATTTTATTAAGTCACAGAGGTGAAGATTATTCCCACTCTTATTGTTTCTCTCTGGAGATGTTTTGTTTTCACCCTTCTTTATCTACTGGTTAAAAGGATTCTCCAGTGCCAGGAAAACAAAGCCATTTTTCTGGCACTATAGAATCCTATAGTGCCCCCCTCCCTCGCGCCCCCTTCCGTGGTGTGTTACTTGCCTGAATCCAACGACGCTGGATCAGGCTCCGCCCATGCTTCTGCCCCGCCGACAGGCTGGCGGCAGAGGCCTAATGCGCATGCGCGGCAATGCCCGTGCTCGCATTAGGATTTTCCCATAGGAAAGTATTAATCAATGCTTTCCTATGGGGATTCCAGTGACGCTGAAAGTCCTCTTGCATAGCGCGAGGACGACCATCATCATTTAGATGACCAAAAGCCGTCTAAGCACGCCATAAATCCCTAGAGTAGGAGTTAACCCTGCAAGGTAATTATTGCAGTTTCTCATAAACGGCAATTTATTGATTTCCATGGCGATTGCTCCATATTCAGCTCTTTGCTTTAGTATTGCACCCGTTGCCTTGATAAATCTCCCCCATTACTTTCATGACAAAGTAACATAAAATGTACTATCCCTATTATCTGCACTGTATTTCTAAAACCATACAAACATAGCATCTAAAAACATTTAATTTCAATAGTAACAAGTCTAGCAATTATCCATGCTCTATTTCAAAACCAGCATCATCTACCAGCCTTTACAATGATTTCTCGAGGAAGAGCCTGCTGGAGATGCCATTAGCTAACAGAAACCATGAATGTCTGAAATGATGTGTATAAACACACCCAGGTTGCGTTGGTCATTTTGTTCCATTGTTTGAATACATGTGACATAAGACTGTACTTTGTCTTGTGTTGTAATTGTTGTCCTATTCAGTGAAGATTATGAAGGCAGGAAACGCCCGAGGAGGATATTTATAGTTCTAGGTGGGGAGGCCAAACGGTAAGGAAACCAATCAAAGGGATCGGTTAAATTCTACATGAACCCAGTGATCAGGATGTTAATCGATCCCTCTGGCACTCACAGGGTTAAATCATTTCATAGACATGTTAGAAATTTATAATGGGGCTTAAAATTAAAGTACAGTTATGCCCACCCAGGTTCTGCCCATATCAGAAGGGGCTCCTTAGGCAGAAGATTTGGCTGTTTGTGATAGGAGTGTGCACATGAAGTGCAGTAGCAATAAAATGAGCATTAGGAGTTTTGTGGATACAGGAGCAGTTTTTGAGGTATTGTTGGTATTTGGCTAACAAGTAATTCGGAAACCGGCTTCAGATGACAGGAGAAAGGGACTATGGACCCTGGAAATCTGCGATTACTGGCAGCTAGCTATTGGTTTAGGAGGCTTGCAATCTGACTTGGGGATGAAGGGGCTGTATAAATCCTTTGGGGGGGGAGGTTCCAAGCCAGTTATCCCTGTTTTCTAGCAGCTGAGAATGATTGGCATGTATCCATGTACTAGAAAGTGCCATTGCTATGTAATGGGCAGTAATGTGTGGTATGTATGGCTATCGCAAAGATCTGAAACAATAAAATTCACATTACTCAAAGTAATTTGCAGTGTGTACAGGTGTATCGCAGAGCTCCACAGGTGTATACAAGTGTATCAGAGAACCCTACAGCATTAACAATCAAACAGTAAAAGGGCGGAGCCTGACTGCCGAACTGCTTGGTCACATCTTGTCTGAGCACCGTGCAAATCTCAATACTTCCACAAATTTCAGGGCTTATAGACCCTAATATCGAGGCTCATCAGCCGTTGGGCAGGCTCACCATCTTGGCAACATCGCCATATTATCTTGCTTATTTTACTGAGGCAGTCATGCGGCCTCCCTGGAGACACATAAGAGAGGGAGGAGGCCGATTTTTCCACACCTAACCTTCCGATTCAGACGCTTCTGAAGCGGGCCCAGTCCCTCCCTCTCCCCTGGCCAGAGCGGGTATCCTCACATCCTACTCCTCAATGGCATCTATTCATGGCTGAGGCCTGTTGGAGTGGCCTCCCCAAGATGGAGGATACAATATGGTTGTTAAAACTCCCTCAGGCAGGGAGTCTCAAACAATGCTACTTTTTTGTTTGGTCACCTACTCACACCGGGGCCTTCAGCCATTCGATGGCATCAAGTCTAGTGGGTCTGTTCACTGCCATTGGATAGTATTGGCTGACCTGACCTATGTGCCCGGGATTGTTCCACATTATACCATATCATACCTTATTTTTTTGAGTTATCGTAAAATTCAGCCTATAACATGATCTATAATGTCTTTCACACTATTTTCACTATCGTTTTCTTTATGTGCCACTGACCTACTGTGTTATGTTTTGTTTCACTATTGTCAAAAACCTCTTGCATCATACAAACTGCAGATATGCATATTATGTCTTATTGCGCTTTCTGAATTTCATATGCTACTAGGGATGTACATGGGCAAAAAATTTGGTGCGGCTCGGCATTTCCGAAATTCGGGATTTTGGCAATTCATAACTTTGGCAATTCCCTAACCCTAACCTAACCCTTACACCTACCCCTAACCCTAACCTACCCCCAACCCTACCCCTAACCCTAACCTCCCCAACCACTTACACATCTAGGGATAGGGTTAGGAGTAGAGTTGGGGTTAGGGTTGGGCTTGGGGGTAGGGTTAGGGTTAGATTCCTGTCATTATTCCTGTAATTTCCCTCCTTCTCGT